TCTGCCAAAGATTAAAGTTGATCATCTATCTGCACCACAGTATAAGCAGTAACCCAGCCAGATGGAAGGCCAGGCAACCCCTCTGCATTATTCAGCATGACCAGGAGCTTTCCTGCTCCTGTATACTAAGTAGCATCCTTGAGGAAAAAGTTATCTTTGATCTGAGTAGAACATCATGTGGAGCTGGTGACCCCTGGGGGTAATACCTTAAAGACCTCACCATGCTGCCAGGGCTGACAAATCAGAATTCATGCAAGACGCAGAAGCATCTGTCCATGCTGGCGCGTGCGCACACACACACACACACACACACACACACACACACACACACACACACACACACACTGAAAGGTTGTGGTTCACCTGCTGATCAGTAAAAATTATACAAGACTTTAGCCTGTGACCTTGGGTACAGGTGTTCAAACTGAGGGTTCCTAACCTTTCCATGATATGAATAAATGAAATTTTTACTTACTTTTTTCTGAAACTTTAAAGAACATCTACATTTTTATGTTTATTTTATTAAACAAAAACAGTTTTTTGAGTTCCACAATGAAAACTAACATACCGCTGTCATGCACATGTGTAGCTCAGTTGGCAAGATTTGTGATATTTCTGTTGAGTTTGGGGGGGAAATGGACCAATCCAATGCGCACATGTTTACCTTCTGTTTAAGCTGTAGGACAGACATCTTAATTTGGTGGAAATCATCACACGTGGCTGAGCAGGTTCCAGTATTCATGACATGATCAGACTTCTCAAAGAGATGTACTGCTGGGAAATGGGAAAATGTTTATGTTAACATAATGCTTTTCTTAGAAAACTGTCAAGAAAACAGACTTTACTGAAGAAGCTACATCTGGCTGCTCCCTTATTCAACAAGGATCACCACAGTGGGAAGCTCCACATTTTTGATTTGGCAGATATTTATGTTGGATTCTCTTCTTGACGTAACCCCCAAAGGGAATTGTGTCTCTTCCTGGGACCGAACCACGTATCTTTCACTTGCTTGTCATAAAATGTAAACCAAAAGCTATGCTTTGGGAAAATTAACCTAAAGCGTGTGATTCAGAGCTGTGTTAACTTGACCACATAAAGGGAAACCACAATTGTTATTACTGTCAGGTTACATTAAATCTGTCGCCAAAACAGTCTAATAATTTAAATAGTGTTGTCATGTTCAGCATTGCTGCCTTCGTAACTGTTCGATGGGTTTCCGATAAGCTGTGTGAGCAGAGTGAGGGATGAGTGGCTTATGTTCTGAAGGCAAAAGCAGCAAAACAGTTATTTAGTCTTATAGTTCTGTTTGTGCTTTAGTCTTTTCAGAAACAGCTATTAAAACCTGAGATGAGGAAACTATTCATGGACCAGTTCTGACTTTATTCTGATCTGATTTGTACAGAGTAGTGACTGCTTTCTTTGTGTGATGAATATAAGATTGAGAAGTTTTGTTCTCGCAAATACTCTCTTTTTTAGTAACTGGGGAAAAGCAAATCCACTAACGAAAAGGTACATTAACCATTGTGGGTGATTTACTGAACTAAAGTTGGCAGGGGGCTGTAAAAAATGAGTCAGTCTCTGGAAAGTGCAGAATTAAAATGAGTTCAGAGTTAACAATGTGATTTAATAACACATTGTTACAACTGAAAATAACTCTACATGTCTTTTTTTCTCACTTTCCTTTCCACTTTT